CCAAAATAAGAGTAAATACTGTCAAGTTTGGAAAATACTGTCATGTTTGAAGTCTGGTATTGCCAAAACATGACAGTAATTAATCCTATTCTGGGAATAAAAACATGGAAGTCCTATTTTGGAATTCTCAAACTTTTTAGTCCTATTTCGAGTAATATCTCAATTTAAAAATATACAAGCCGTTGTGAATTGCCAATTATAATACAGGTCAAACTATTGCCGAGGTAAAAAAAAAAAAGGTTTTTTTGTTCTAAATAGAACTAAAATGTTGCATAAATTCCAAAATAGGAGTATGTGGACTTTTATTCCCTAAATAGGACCTTTATACTACTTCTACCCCTCTAATTAATTTTTGCGGTTCAAACACCATCCGCCCTTCTCAACCAACTTATGCGCAAGTTGCAAGTTGAAACAAGGGCTTGTAGATGGCGATCGATGAACAAAAGCAGTGGCAAAGGAGCCATGAGGAGTGGCGAGCGCCGATGAACAACAACAGCGACGAGCAACAACGAGCGGCTAAGACTTGGAACAGCAAATGTTCCTATTCTACATAAGTACCTTATTCATAGAATAAATCATATTGCTCATATTTTAGAATTACAAAATGAGTTTATTACTATTTCGAAAATTCACACATTCTTTAATGGTTTAGGTATGCTCCATATGGCTCCCAAATCCTCCTCCTCGTATGGTAGGTCCAAAGAGCAAGAGTTGGAACATGAAGATGCATGCGAGAGCGACCATACCAAGGGGAGGTCCAATCGGCAGCCATTTACACTCCTGTAAATACTTCATGTACCCATCTTTACACGTCTCGCAATTGTAGCACAAAACGCTTTGTTTCTCATCCCACAAATCACAGTCCCTATTATTGTGCCCACCGGATGTTTCATCATTTGTGTGATTCGCCGGCCGCCTCCGGTAGGTGGCATTCACCAATTCCATCCCGCAAACTCGAGGCGGTCGGCAACAACCCACCTGAAATAATTGTATTCCGAAAATATCAAGCCAAAATATCATTTGAAATGGTAATCACAATTTTTCATCCATTTCACTTATAGTGAAAATTTGTTCGACAACGTACATTGAAAACATGCCGAGGAAATGTTAAGTTTCAGATATTTGGAAAGTTTTTAATTAGTTGAACACGTTAAAGCTAATTTCTCCCTATTGATGATTTATTCAATTTTAAAAATTAAAATTTACAAATTTATAATTAGATATATAAAATCTATATAATGTGTCCCTTAATACGCTATCGATCACTTTTTATGGTAAAGTTGGACAATGATTTTAATTAGAAATACTGCGTATTAACTATTGAAATTATATACTACATATTTAATTAATACTTTATCAAAGTATTTCTAATAAAGAACGTTTCGATATCATAATTATATTATAAATAATTTCCCAAACAATCTATATAAAATTAAAATCTACAAATTTATACTACCTCCGTCCCATTTTATGTGTCTTCTTTGGTTTTGACACAATTTTTAATAAAGTGGTTAAAAAGGTAAAAGTTGTGGTTGGGATTTGGTTATAGTAAAGTGAAATGTTGTGAATCACATATTTCTTTCCAAAGAGGGAAAGTGGACACTTATTTTGGGACAGCCCAAAAAGGAAAGTAAAACAGGTAAAATGGGATGGAGGGAGTAAATTCCATTAAAATCTATATATACAAAATTGAAAAATCCAAATTAAAATATAATTTAAAATTGATATCCTAATTAAGTGAATAAAATGAAATTGTTTGAGCAAAAAAGTTGACTTTGAGGATGCTTTTAATTGAAATGTAATTTTTTGGCGTGAGACTGGAATAAGTTCCACAAATCTAAATTAAAACATCCTACAAATCAATTTGGGACGTTGGAAGTATATATTTTTCCCAAAATTAGAGTAACTACTAGCAAATTTTAGAAAATATCACTATTTCCAAACTTAGCTTTATCTACTCCTATTTAGGAATTTCTATATACTTAGGAATTCGAAAATGTTTTTTGTTTTAGTTCGGGAACTTTCTAAATATTAACTACATGTGTCCCTTAACACGCTATCGATCACCTTTTATGGTAAAGTTGGACAATGATTTTAATTAGAATAATACTGTGTATTAACTATTGAAATTATATACTAAATATTTAATACTTTATCAAAGTATTTCTAATAAAGAATGTTTCGATATCATAATTATATTATAAATAATTTCCCAAAAATATTAAAAAATAGGAAAAATTGATGGTAATAATCCCAACTATTGGCGGTCCGCTTATAATAATCCAAACTATCGATTATTTTAGAATAATCCCAACTTTAGGGTCCTTCCGCCAATAACAGTCCCTGTAAATAAATTCATGTACTTTCTGAAGTGGATGAGAAGAGATATAACAAGTAATCTCTATAAATAATCTCAACTTTTAATTTTTACGTTTAATTTCTATTTAAAATTCACTTTTATAGAAGATAATATTTGGTCATGGACCATTATTGGCGGATGGTCCATATAGTTGGGATTATACAAAAATAATCAATAGTTGGGATTATTGTTAGCGGACCGGCAATAGTTGGGATTATTATTTTCAATTTTTCCTAAAAAATATAAATATAATTCGTTAAACTTTAACATGATTGACAAGTATAAATATACCTCAGTTGATGATAGCTGATCATTATCAGTAGGCGATGAGTGAAAGGATTTGAGAGTGCCTGATCGGATGATGAAATCCTCGCAAGTTCTGACCTCATAGAGGCAAGTCCCGATGGCCGGCCAGACATCACCGTCGTGAAACTTGGATTTGAGCCACGACGGCGAACCAGGGAGGTTATGGGCCATCACCGGGAAAACACCGGCAAGGGCGAACCCAAAAAGGACCAGGAGGATCATAGGTACGTTGATGAGGAGAAACGCAGGGACGATGGGGGTAGCGGGGCAAGTAGCCGTAAGCGAAGAGGTTGCCGAAGGAGAAGACGAAAGCAAGGCCGATGAAGACGCAATATTGGAGCTTTGGGGGGTGAAGAAGATGCTCGCAGTCTGGTTGGGAGTATATTAAGTCTGCGAAGATGTAGGTAAAAGGCAGGGACACAAGGAAACTTAGAATGATCAATAACAGCACGTCGCATTTCTTGCTGATAAAAACCCTAACCCTTCTAGGGTTTTGGTTTTCTTCTCCTGTATCTTCACGCATGATTAATACTTTGAAATTAAAGGTCGTGGGAGGAAGATTTCGAGAAGATCAGAGAGTCAATTAAGCTTCACCTTCATAAAATTTATAAGAAACCTCTGTATGTAATTATATATAGGTGGATGTTAGGGCTTTTTCACCGCAGCCATAAAAGCGGGCCTAGACATGGGGTAGGTCTTATTCGTTGACGTACGTACGTTGAAGTTATCTGGACTTCGTGATAAACCTAATGTGCTAGAATCTATTTTACGAAGTGTATGGCAGCAAGTTTAATTTATACGAAAGTCTTATGATAAATTTTTTCTTCAATGTAAAATTTAAGAATATGAAAACAGTTTACTTTTCCATGGAAAAGTCATAAGATTGTAAAAAAAAATTAGTTGTAAGATCAAATATATGCGTAATCGAGTGAAGTTACAAGATTGATAACGCATAGGGAAAATTTCATAAAAAAGAGTAAAGAAGTTTTGAAATTCCAAAATATAACTACCATTTTTATTGTGGTAATTTGAGTTTGCACCCCATTTTATTGTTGAAATTAGACTTTGCATCCCGTTTTTAAATATCTTTATTTTTGCACTCCCAACCCCTTATGAAAAGACAAAAATGCCCCTCGATTAGGAACACGTTGAAGGCCAACAATTTTTTTTATGGAGGGACATTTTTGTCTTTTCATACGGGTTTGGGGTGCAAAAACAACGATTTTTAAAAATGCGGTGTAAAGTTCAATTTGGACAATAAAATGTGATGCAAACTCAAATTACCCCTATTTTATTCCCTGAATAGGGGTAATTCTTTCATGTTTGGCATTATGAGGTTTTACATAGGCATTTTCTATCAAGTTTTTTCTGAATTTAACAGAAATTACTCCTATTTAGGGAATAAAAACATGAAGGCCCTATTTTAAAATTTCAAAAACGTTTTTACTTTTCTTCATGGCAATTTCTATAACAAATACAGCTAAAAGCTACCGACCGAGGTCAAGATTGTAAATGTCCCTATTTATTGATAAAAATATAAAAAATGTATTATCTCTCTATCTCACAAAATTCAATTTCTTCATCTTGGACTTTAATGATTACTGAGTTTAAATTTGAGTAATTATATTTTTTAAAACGAAATTATATATGTATGTATGACAATGATATGAATTATGAAGTTTGAAGATATTTAATGGTCAATCTTGTTTAAATTCGTTTAGTCTAAAATTACTCCATCTAGTCTGCTCTAATGTAAGGTGCGGTATTTAATACGAAGTACTACGTATAATTAAGTAGAGTCATTTCTAGTTCGATCTGCAGTTTTTTATAGTTTGGTCTATTTAAGTTTAGTTAAATAGTCATTTCTAGTTCGATCTGCGGTATGAAATATATAAGCCAAGATTAAATTGTCATTAAACCAAACTTATATACTACGTATTAGACAATAGCAAAATAAATACTCCTTTTGTTCCTTATTACTTTACTATTCTTTCCCTTTTAATTGTCACAAATCCTGAACCACTTCCCCGGCCTTGTAATCAATTAATTTCTGATTCTTACTATTTATTTTTGCTTTTGAACAAAGTTTAATTAATCACACAATTTTTATTTTATTATTATTTTTCATATTAGTCAAATTTGGCGATTTTTTAAGATCGAGACGAAGGGAGCATAAAATATTAAAATATACATATACCATACTAGAGCAGCAAGAGCATGCATGCCACATCAGTAAATATCAAACCTATAAACGTACTTGGTGTTTGCTGCTCCGTATAAATTAAAATCCAGATAATTAGAGTAGATAAGCGGTACTGAAAAAAAGATCTAACAAATTAAATGACACAATATATAATTATAGTATCCCTAATTTATTAAAACCAATAAAAGAAAAGGAAGAAAATAATTGTAAACGTCCAACGCTAGCTAGCTAGTACAGTAGCTATTTCTATTTTCTAGTTAATCTAACAACAATAATATAATGCTCCATGCACAAGCTGCAGAAGGAAGACAAAAACTAAACGAATTGCAGAATAAAATAAAACCAATTACTTATTTAGCTATCCTCCATAGCGTTCCCACATGGTAGCTACAAAGAGCAAGAGATGGGAGACGATGAGTAACAAAGAGATGGCAATAAGGAAAGCTCCAAGCCGCCGCCATTTCCCCTCCAAGCTCTTCACGAACCCTTCTTTACAAGTATTGCAGTTGTAGCACAAAATGCTTTCTTTGTTGTCCCACAAATTGCAATCCTTGTTATTGTACTCTCCCCCGTTCTCATCCTCTTTCTTTTTCAAGGGCCTCCTCCAATATGTGACGTTGACCAGTTCCATGTCGCACACCAGAGGCGGTCTGCAACATCCCGCCTGAAATTTTGTTCCCGATATCGAAAATAATTAGGGCCAAATATAATTTTTATGGTATTTGCAGTTTTTTCTCATCCCGAATACCATTCAAAGAAGAATTTAGACATTTATGTTTCAGGATTCTTCTGCCTTCAGTTCTTAAAGATATTGAACTTTGGGTGACATTAGACTTTACACTCCATTTTTTTTAAAACTAAGACTTTGCATCCTGACATCCTGTCATGTAACATTTTGTGAAGAAATTTTTTTGAACGAATGTGATGCAAATTAAAATGGGATAAGGGTCAGTTTGGTCCTCCAAGTTGCAAAAAAGGGGTCAAATAAGTCCTTATATAGAAGATTCTGTCCGGACGTGCCATTTGAGGTGGCTCCCGGTGGAATTTTTTGATGCAATTTTTTGATGCAATTTTTTTAGCATCTTATTCATTAAGTCTAGTTTACTCATACCAAATTTCAGATAAAAATTCAATGGGGAAGACATTCAAATGAATTCTTGAAGATAACTGTGCCGTTAAAAGCGCTATTATCTTCAAGAATTCATTTGAATGTCTTCCCGATTGAATTGTTAGCTGAAATTTGGTATGAGTAAACTAGACTTAATGAATAAGATGCTCAAAAAAAATTATCACAAAATTCCACCGGGAGCCACCTCAAATGGCACGTCCGGACAGAATCTTCTGTATAAGGACTTATTTGACGCCTTTTTTGCAACTTCGAGAACCAATTCAACTGACCCTTTACTCAAATTAAAATCAAAGGTTGTTAAGAGAAATAGGGTGAAATGCAAAATTCAATATCACTCCAAAAGTAGGAAACAGTCAAATACTCCACTCTAAAACTATTAGATTAAATGCATATTTACGTACTCCGTTTTAGGTGAAACAACAACTTAATTATACTTGCATGCATTTTAAAGATGTTTTCTTTTGGACTGTTTTCAGTCCCAGACCAGACCAGACCAGACTTAAACAGACCAGACTAGCCCAGACTTGGATAGTTATAAAATACACAGCGACCAGACGTTTATCAGACCAGACTAGTTCAGACCAGACCAGACCTAAACAGACCAGATCAGACCAGACCAGACCAGACCAGCAAATTTCAATCCAAAAGTAAACATTCTAACACTAATTCGAACATTAACGGCGTGACATTATGATAAGCATATTAAATACTAATACAGTAAGGATGTTTTCTTTTGGACTAAAATTTGTTGGTCTAGTCTGGTCTGATCTGATCTGGTCTAGTCTGTGTGTATTTTATAACTACAGTAGTCTGTCCGGTTTGGTCTGGGACTGAAAACAGTCCAAAAGAAAACATCTTAGGATGTTTTCTTTTGGACTGTTTTCAGTCCCAGACCAGACCAGACCAGACTTAAACAGACCAGACCAAACTTAAACAGACCAGACCAGACCAGACTTCCGTAGTTATAGAATACACAGAGACCAGACGTTTACCAGACCAGACCAGACCAGACCAGACCAGTTCAGACCAGACCAGACTTAAACAGACCAGACCAGACCAGACTTAAACAGACCAGGCCAGACCAGACCAGACCAGACCAGACCAGACCAGCAAATTTCAGTCCAAAAGAAAACATCATTAATACTGCGTATGAGCTTAATTAGGATGTTTTCTTTTGGACTGTTTTCAGTCCCAGACCAGACTAGATCAGACTTGACTTTCGTAGTTACAAAATACACAGAGACCAGACGTTTACCAGACTAGACCAGACCAGTTCAGACCAGACCAGACAGACTAGCAAATTTCAGTCCAAAACAAAACATCCTAGTCAAATTTATCATTTCCGGCCTCCATTGATTTCAATCAATTCGCCACTTGTAAAATGAATGAAAGGAAAAAGAAGAAATCCATCATTTAATGTAGATGTAAAATATGGATCTCTTCCCAAACAAAATCTGATATGGTTTTACGAAGCAATAATAATAACTTTAAATACCGAACTATCTTCCATAAATAATACGAACTATATCAATAAAAATACGTTTTTGGAAATAACTTTTTAACTATTTGAATTGAATATACTAAAAATTTGATCAATTACACTACAAAAAATGTCTATTTGCTAAAGGAAAGTGGTTACAAAAACGAATTAAATCTCCCATTTTCTTGTAGTATTAAGACATCAAAAACTAATTTCAAAATATCAAATAAATAAGTGAACATATTTCCAAATATCATTTATTTGATGATTTGACATCAACTTTTGATGTCTTAATTAAATGATTGGAATTCTTGTTGAAAAGTGAATCTATATAATTTTTGCTACATATTCACATAATTGATACCGGGGTATAAGAGTATTATTATGATAGGGATCAGACTCTTTACTTCAATTTATTTCTCTCACACAAAATTATTTAAATTAGATCAAATCATAAAAATATTTATATCAGAATAGTCCAAATCATTATCATATCAAATCGGACCAATTTATATATCAAACGGGATCAGTTTATAGTGGGCGGAACCAGAACAAATTGAAATCCCAAATCTTGTTCATATAGACTAGCTAGATCAGATTCATCACTATATCGATCAAATTAGCCTAAGTTTTACAAAGTAAATTTTAGTCCAAATTACACTTCGTATATAGATAAGCCTGCATGCATGTAAGCTCTTACTGATTAAGTACGAAGAAAGGTACCTCGGTTGATGATAGCTTATCAGTAGCCAAGAAATTAAACGATTTGAGAAGGTACGATCGGGCGATTAAATCCTTGCAAGTTCTCGTTTCATAAATGCAGGTCTTAATGGCGGGCCAGGCATTGTCATCATGCATCTTGGATTTGAGCCACGGCGGCGAACCCGGGATCTTGCGGGCCTCGGCTTGGTAAGCGCCGACGAGGCCGAGGCCGACAACGAGCATGACGATGAGAGGCACGGTGACGATGACAATCGCCGGGATGGGAAAGCGGGAGGCGAAGATGTAAGGGACGAGGTTGCTGACGAGGAAGACGACGGCGAGGCCGATGACGATGGCGTATTGGAGCCTCGGGAGGCGGAGGAGATCCTCGCAGTCGTACTGCTGCGTGTAGAGCAAGTAGATGAGGGTGAAGAGGATGGGTAAAGACAAAATGAAGGTTAGAATGGTCAATATCAGCACAATGAATTTCTTGTTGATCAAAACCCTAGTAGGGTTTGGATCTGGTTTTGGAGGAATGAGAATCTGGTGATGATCAGATTTCTCCTCTGTTGTGAGCGTAGACGACGTCGTTACGGCAGTCCGTTGCTCAGTTTCATCTGACACTAGTGTTGTTGCTGGAGCTGCTCCAGTAGTATCTTCAGGCATAGTGTATAATAGTGTAAGAATATCAAAGTGGGGATGAACTAAATATCCTTAATTAGTACTATCGTATATTTAATTTATTTACAATAGCTTAACAACCTATTCAACTAAAAAAAGGGTCTACCGCTAACTCAACTAAAAAAAGGGTTGTCTAATTCTCGTAGTTTGACATGGAAATGCCCATTCTATATCAAGATTGACTCTCTACCCAATATCTTGCTACCATGTGGCAAAAAACTTTTTTTATAATAAATGTTATAACTTTTTCATTTCTGATCTTATTTTTATAAAATGAATATCAAATTGAAGATCTTTTTATGATCTTTCATACGACACTAATATTACATATGTAAAAATTTTAAAAAAAAAAAAGAAAGAAAGAAACTGATCAGGTATGTTTAAGTTGGTCTAGTGAACGACTAATAAATGTGTATTTACTACGGAGTATTCTTTAAATCTAGTATAGCCTGATCAAAGCTATTTAGATGGAAATAGGTCTAATTATGAACATCTTAATGTTGTTCACATGCTTGCTCATAGATAAAAAATACTTCCTCCGTTCTTTTTTAAAGCAACATTGGACTTTTTCCACTATTCACATGTTCTACTTTAATTTGACTCAATTTTATTTATTAATATATCATAAATTAAATTTTAAAAAAATATTGTTAAATTCCTCTCATTCTAAATTTTCAAAATCTATTTTTTTAATATTTTTACTAATAAAGAATGACAGATATCAACGGTCAAACTTGTGCGTTGGCAAACGTGAAAAGTGGACGTTGCATTTAAAAAAAATGGAGGAAGTATATGATCTTAATGTCTAATCAACATAGTGCTAATCCAATTTTAAAAGGCAAGGCCCTCCACCTTTAATTTGGAATCCATTAAAGAAATAAAAACTAAAGATAATACGGAGTAGTTTACTACTCCCTCTGTCCCATTTTACATGTCTCCGGCTTTCCTTTTTGAGTTGTCCCAAAATAAGTGTCATGTTTTCTTTGCTGAAAAAAAATATGTAGTCAACAACATTTCACTTTATTACACTCAAATCGCAATCATAACTTTTACTTTTTCAACTACTTTATTAATATGTGTGCCAAACTAATTAAAGTAGGACACATAAAATGGGTCTATCATTCTAAATTCACCTAAAGCTTTAGGCAAATAAAAATATATTAATATAACATTCTAAAAGTACATTGGAGTCATTAACTTATAAGACAACATAATTGAAATAAATGTGCATATTGATTTGAGGGAAGTTTATTTATTTGAATACATTAATTTATAATTATACTATCGGTGAACATGCTTTTAATTGGATTAATTTTTTTTTCTTGTATGATTTGATCCGAGTAAAGGGTCAGTTTGGTCCTCGAAGTTGCAAAAAAGGCGTCAAATAAGTCCTTATATAGAAGATTCTGTCCGGACGTGCCATTTGAGGTGGCTCCCGGTGGAATTTTGTGATAAATTTTTTTGAGCATCTTATTCATTAAGTCTAGTTTACTCATACCAAATTTCAGCTAAAAATTCAATCGGGAAGACATTCAAATGAATTCTTGAAGATAACAGCGCTTTTAACGGCACAGTTATCTTCAAGAATTCATTTGAATGTCTTCCCCATTGAATTTTTATCTGAAATTTGGTATGAGTAAACTAGACTTAATGAATAAGATGCTCAAAAAATTTCATCAAAAAATTCCACCGGGAGCCACCCCAAATGGCACGTCCGGACAGAATCTTCTATATAAGGACTTATTTGACCCCTTTTTTGCAACTTCGAGGACCAAACTGACCATTATCCCAATTTGATCTAGTTTTCTCTGTCCAAATTTGGTATGGGTGTACGTAAGATCATACGTACTGATCAAGTACAAAGAAAGATGATGATAGCTTATCAGTAACCAAAAAATAAACGATTTGAGAAGGTACGATTGGGTATAGGGGTGGGCATAAAAGCCAAACCGAACCGGTACCAAATCAACCCGTAATAGTACTCACTCAACCGAATATCGGGTATTTAAATGGTTTTATAGAATTCTATCCCCAATTGAAATGGTACCATTTGAAAAAGGTACAAGATCGATTCTAGATTTTGAGAAATGAAAGATATTGTGGGTGCACTTATACCACAACAAAAAAACAGGATTGTAGTCACAGACCTTAGTTTTAAAAATCCGTATACGTAGGAAGGAGGAGGTTTCTGCGAAATGTAAACTCTGTGAATTGGGTGAGGAGGATACTGACCACTAGGGCTGTCAACGAACCGAGCTTTTATCGAACTATTCGAGCTCGAGCTCGATTTCGAACCTAACGAGCCGAGCTTAACGAACTTCGAACTCGAACTCCAGCTGAGTTTTAAGTTCGAAAAATTAATCGAGCCGAGCTCGAACATAGTAGTTTTTGGCTCGGTTCGAACTCGAGCCTATCGAACACCCTAAAATTTTAAATATAATTTTTATATATGTCAAAATTTAAATATAATTAGTATGGTTTTATGAATTTAAATATGATTATTAATGAACCGAATACTTGTCGAACCATTTGAGCACGAGCCTATTAACGAGCATCATCTAAAATTTTAAATTCGGGCATATTTATCGAGCTTATCAAGCGCTCGGTTCGAACATCGAACGCCTATCGAGCCGAACACGAGCCTCATTTGTAAAGCTCGCCGAGCTTCAAGCTCGAACCCGAACACCCCTTATTCCTTAATGAGCCGAATTCGAGCTTTGGGTGTTCGGGCTCGGTTCGCTCGTTAACAGCCCTACTGACCACACCTTTCGGCCTTTTCCAAATGTTAAAGGGTGTGGCAAGCTTTGGGTGGCCTCTATCTATGATAATGCCTCAACTGATTTAAAGAGTGTTTGCAGTTGATTAAAAAAGCATTTTTCAGCTTTTGGCTTAAAAAATGTTAAAAAGAGTGTTTTCAAATGACAGCTTCTGCTTAAATTAATCACTTAAAAGCTAAAAACTGGAAGCAGGTGGAAGGGTGCTTTAAACTGCTTTTCACTTTTTCTATTACACAAAAAGTACTTATTTTACCAAACACTACCAACTTTTACTGTTGGTCCAAAATAGGACGCTCGTAGGCTTTTAGGAAAGCTACGTAAGAACACTCAAGCAGAAATCAGGAAAGCAATGCAAATATGGAAAGTAGCTAGAGAGTTTGGTAGCCAGAAATAGCATGTCTGTATTCGAAATATAACTTGCCTTTTATAGGCGCTTACAAATGGTAACTGCCGAATAATAATGACTAAATTAATTACAATATTAATACGAAATTAAATACATGATTAATGGTGCATTGATTACTGGCCGTTACGCTTCTTGGTTGGCTGGCTGGCGGGTCGGCCTGGCTGGCGGTCCGGACGCTTGAGCTTCTCGGGCGGCAGGCTTCCGTCGGGCTGGAAGGCAGGCTCCTAGCTAGGCCGCAAGGCAGGCTTCCAGACGGCCGGCAGGCAGGCCGTCTTGGGTTTCCACTCCGCTGGACCTCCACTCCCTAATGGGCCCGGTTGGTTGGGTCGACTTGATATCTGGATCGCTGGGTCCACTATCTGGGCTTGCCTGGCGAGACGACAGTCCTGGGCTTGGGCCTGCTTATCCAAGTTTGGGGCAAAGTCTGATTAGGCGTTGGGCCTAGTCCTATAATCCCATCACGAGTCCCCCACTCCCTTAGTCGAGTAGTAGACTCGGCTAAGAGGGAGTAGTCCAAGTCAGCTGCCAATTTAAAAATGTTCACATACTAGGGAGTAATAATTGTGGATTCTGTAAATCCCACAACTTATGGAAATTTTCCAATTTTAAATAAAGCTCTCAGCTTTAATAGGCTTCAAATTAATTCATTCAACATCCTAGCATTCTAGCAGTCAGCTCTCTTCCAGACTCCAGAATCCAGGTCAGCTTTCGAATATTCCCCAAAATAATTATTTTCGGACCCCTAAAATTTTTTTCCTTTTCCTTTTCCTCTCCTTTCCTTTTCTTTTCTTTTCTTTTCTTTTCTTTTCTTTTCTTTTCTTTTCTTTTCTTTTCTTTCCTTTTCTTCTCTTTCCTTTCCTTTTCTTTCCTTTCTTTCTCTCTCCTGGTTCCCTGCGTGCGTCTTCCTCGCGTCGCCCGCATCACCCAGCGCCGCAGTCAACTTGCCGGGCGGGTTGACCGCCGTATTCCCTCCGGCGGTTTCACTGGGTTGTCTCCTCCGTGCAAGGCGGCCGTCCCGCGCCGCCCACCGGTGACCGACGTCGCCCTGGCAGTCCGGCAAATCCGGCCGGCCGGTCTGGTCGAGCGGGCTGACCGCCGCTTTCCCTCCGGCAGCTCCACTGGGTCGGCCCCGCCGTGCTAGGCGGCTATTCCGCGCCGCCCACATGTGACCGACGCCGCCCCTGCAGTCCGGCAAATCTGGCCGGCCGGTCTGGTCTCCTACCGCGTCCGGCTGGTGCGTCTCGCCTGGGCCGGCGGCCACCCCTTGCTGGTCAGCGTCTGCCAGAGGTTGGCGTCCTGGCTGGGCGCCCCTCTTGTCCATCTCCGGCGTTATGGCTTTCGCACAGCGCCGCCGTCAGCCCCCCAAGGTTGACCGACGCACGCGGCTCACCCCTCTGCCTTGCCGGGCTCTCCCACCAGCCGGCGGCTCTGCCGCGGTGTTTGACGGTGACAGACCCAAGTCGGTCGGGTCCCCACGTAGGTCCACGAGCCGCCCTGCACCTTGGTTCTGAAAATGACGGGCCGGGGTGAAGTCTCTATTACCCGGGGCTCCGCGTTGTCCGGCGGTTGTCTTATTGCTGACCGGCTTCACCCCTCATCCAGGTGGTCATGCGGGTGTGAGCCCCCCTATTGGCGCACTCCAAGTTGACGGGCAGGCTTAACGCCTCGTATATGCTAACTCACTCTTTTTTTTTTTTTTTTATGTGCAGGTGGGCCCCATCCCGTTTGACCATGCAACACGGAGGGTGCTCTTCTCATCAAAACAATGGTCAAGGCTCTCACACAGCAATGCAAGTTGGAGTTCAGCCCCTCTCCAAGCCATCAGACTCGGGACTGTCGGCCATCACTGAAGGCAAGCATGGGGCGGCCATGAAACCCATTCGGGCCAGCCGTGGCCCCAGACCACGTATGCATGTGGGGAAAGTTACCGGACAGCAGGCTGAGATTCTCCCAGAGGTAGCCCCAACTAAGCGGGTCACCGTTTTCGAGGGCCGACCCCTCAATGTTCCGGACAGAGCGCGCACCCAACCCGTGGACGTGTCAGATTCTGATGATGACTCTGGCGCTTGGGAGGACCCGAATTCTTGGTGGGACCTCGACAATAGCGGGATAGTGAACCTCCCCCCTTGCGTCCAAGACGAGGACCTTGCCGTGGCACGTAGTCTGATCGGTGCCGTGTGTTCATCGAAAATCCCGGAGGCTACTGAAGTACTGAGTGATCCCCCGGTCCCTTATTTTGGGGTCCATATCCGCTCTCTGGAGTTAGGGATGGTTGTGCCTCTGCATCCTTTTCTGGTTCGATTTCTTCACTTCCTGGGTGTGGCACCGGGCCAACTGGCTCCGGCGGCTCACATGTTCGTGGCAGCTTTCGTGGCGCGGTGTGAGGACGTGGGCATCACTCCCACAATCGATTTGTTTTTTAGCTGCTTCCAGTGGCGCGCCTCCAGCTTTTTTGCCTCAGTCTCCCAGAGGCCGGTGAGCAAGCTATTCCGGTCGGGTTACCCTGACTCAGGTAGCCGATGGAAGAAGAGGTGGATCTGGGTGTCTGACCCTACCCTTCCATCACCTCCTTTCCAGTGGGGTGAGCGGCTCCGGAAGTGTGATCGGGTCGCCCTTTCCCCTGACCTCAAGTCATCCATCGAGGTGTTGTCTGCAGGCGGCCCCCGCTCCATCAGCTCATACTTAGGTGATCGTCACTTCCCCAGTTTAGGTTTGGCTATTTTGTATTTTACCTTACTCATCCTCACATTTTTCTTCCGCAGATGTGCCCGATAGGCCTGAGAAACATATCGTCGGTGCCGAATCCGATGATGATGACGAAGAAGCCCAGCCATTCATCGCTCGTGTAGCTCCCACGGCCACCAAGGAAAAAGAGCATGGAGCTCCCCCAAACCGTGTAGCACAGATTCCGAGGAGGGTGAGGGTTACCTTTGGGCCTCAGCCTGTCGCACCAGCGAAGAAGAAGCAGAAGAGGGATATTGTCGACTTACTGGTCGAATTGGATGAGTCTGATGACGAGGAGGTGGAGCCTCATGTAGCCGCTGCTCCTGTGCTCCCCCAGGTCGCTGCGGGGAAAGGGCACGGAGCCCCCCCGTGCCGAGAGGGGCATGTTTTGGAGGGGGCGACTGTCACCCCGGAATTCCAATCCACCGGGCAGGTGCATGAAGATGCTGGTGAGAGGATGGCTGAGCGGGTTAGCTGCGACACTCAGCACACAGTTGCTTACACATTCCCATCTCCGAGTGCCTCGATCCTGCACGAGGGCTTCCCGGTTGTGGACTATGCTTCAGCGATCTTGCCGCCGGGTGACCTCGCACGTATGACCTCCCAGGGGTTTCAACCCCTCTTGGAGGGTTCCATTCGGACCCATGTTGATGTGAGTGGCCGATCACATCTCCGGCATACTTTGTTTTACCCCTCGATTCCATCATATTTTGTTTGTTTTGTTTTGCAGGGACTTGCTAAGACCGTTGGGGCACTTTGGGCAGCCAACCATTCTCAAGCAATGCTCCAGCGTGAGGTTGATGAAATTAGAGCCGCCCTACAGGCTAGGGAGAAAGCCTTCTCCGAGTTACAACTTTTGCATGCAAGAGAGCGTGAAGAAGTGGCCAAGAAGGCGATTCTCGAGTTCAAGGCCTCCGACGAATTCCAGAAAACCATATCTGACAGAGTGGAAGCGAAGGAATCTGACTTAGTAAATAAGTGGCTGAAGACTGACGAGGGGGAGTACTGGCATGCTCGTGAAGTTCTGTACGCCTTTCAGAGTGGCAAGTACCTGACACAGCAGAAATTGTATGATCAGTTGGAGGGTCTCGGCCCTGACTTTTATCCATCCGTGCTAGGTCTTCCTGCCCGCATGAAGAAACCTGAGGCTGCAATAGCCCTCTTGCCCCCAGGAGTCTACCGCCAGGAGGAGGAGTCCGGTAACTCGAACGAATGGTGCTGGTTCTTTCCAAGACCTTCGGAGGACATGGTCCCCCTTGCATCCGGTCAGCAGGAGGGAGCTCAAGAGTCCGGCCAAGACTTGGTTGCCATGTTAGATGAGATTCCCGGGGCCAATGGTGATGGGCATGTCCTGCCATGACTTTGTATTTTGCATTTTCCTTGTCTTCCACTTGTACACGTGTTTTGACTGAATGTTTAATTAATTCACACATTTCTTTTCATATACTTTGCGTTGCGAATACTTAAGCAATTTAATCGGGGATCCGGCTTCTCTAACTTCCCAGGGGGCGATTAGGCTGGCGTGGCCAAGCCTATCCACGCCCCTCCTGGTCAGATAGAAGTGATCTGTTCGCTGTTGATATGGAATCAACAAGTATGCGACTTGTTCGGCCAGCAAGGTCGGACATTGAACTTACAAGGAGGACACTTAGGTCGGCACCCCGACGTTCGTGACCCTGGGGGTCAGTCCTACTATCGCCTTGACCCGTCCAGTTCGCCCGGACTTGGGGAGTAATCTGGTTACTCCCGCGGGTTTAGCCAAACAACAGGGGCGGACCCTGCATGATCCACCAGAACGGACCCGCACTGCCAACTCGGAGATGGCGAGAGTGCGAGCTGCTTGGCCAGCGATGTCGGGTTGCGAGCGCTCAAAGGGGGGACCCAGAGGTCGGCACCTTGGGCGCTCCCGACCCGGGGATCGGCCCTACTATCGCCTCAACCGTCGCGGTTAGCTCTTTACTTTAGAAAATTGCTTGGATTCTTGAAAATCGATGGGCCATTTTCAGTTCAAGAGCCTGACCGAGGTCGGCCAAACACCGAGGGGGGGCATAGTATCTTTTTTTTTTTTTTTTTTTTTTTTTTTTTTTGCCGCCGCCCTTAATTGCTAAGTGAGGTCGGACCTCTTCTGAATGCAAAATATCGCTAGCAAAGTATATTGAATTCATAATGTGGGCGGACCACATGAAGAATTACAAATTGTAATCCTGTGCCCAGAGCACAGGAGTTCATAAAGAAAAGGTGACACTTCAGTTCTCTACTGATAAAACTTCATCAGATGCTCAGCGTTCCAGACACGGTCTACCAGCCGGCCTGTTGTCGTCTTCAATTTGTATGTCCCGGGTCCGACCACAGCATCAATCACATATGGGCCTTCCCACTTGATGGAAAGTTTGCCTCCCTCCGCCGGCTTGCTGGCCTTCCTACGCCTTAAGACGTAATCACCAACGTCAAAACTCCGGGGCTGGGCTCGGCTGTCCTGGTACGCCTTGACTTGGCGTCGATAGTTTTCTGCTTTGACGAAGGCCCGGTCCCTCCTTTCCTCAATGAGGTGGAGCTCGGCTCGGAGCCTCTCCTCATTGCTAGCTGGTTCGAACTCTTCCATTCGTCGGCTGGGGACTACGGCCTCGAACGGTGCCCTTGCCTCAAAGCCATAACACAAGGCGAAGGGGGTCTCTCCGGTTGCCTTCCTTGGGGTTGTTCTGAAGGTCCAGAGTATATTGTTCAACTCTTCCACCCAGGCAGTCCCGAGGGCCTCCAACTTCTTTTGCAACCCATCGACGATCGTCCTGTTAGTGTTCTCCACCTGTCCATTTGCCTGAGGGTAGCAAACCGCAACCCGGCTGGATTCTACGCCCCACTCTGCGCAGAACTGCCGGAAGGATTCGCAGTCAAACTGCCTTCCGTTGTCGGAGATTATTTGGAGGGGAACTCCGAACCTGCAAAAAATATTCTTCCATATGAATTTCTTACACTGGAGATGTGTGATGCTGGCGAGCGGCTCAGCCTCGACCCACTTCGTGAAGTAGTCCACTGCGACGATTACAAACTTCCGGTTTCCCGACCCGGTTGGCAAGGGACCGACCAGGTCGACGCCCCATCTCGTGAATGGGAGGGCGGTGCTGATCGGTGTGTACATCGTCGCTGGCCGGCCGGGGCTCTTCTGGAACTTCTGACATGTCTCACACCTCCTTGCATAATCGGCACAATCTCGCATTATCGTCGGCCAGAAGTAACCCTGGAGAACAACCTTCCTGGCAATTGTGCATGCCCCCTGGTGGGCGGAGCACACGCCCCCATGGAGTTCGGAGACGATCATGTCCGCTTCATGCGGGCGCAAACACTTTAGCAACGTCCCATTGTAGGACCTCTTGTATAGCTTCCCGTCCAAGACGACGTAGCCCGGAGCTCGTCGGCGGACTAGCCTTGCTTCATCCTCCCTGTCAGGCAGCGTCCCATCGGCGATGTAACGCAGGAGGTCGTCCACCCAGCACCAGGCGACCGGTTGCAAGGGGAGGACGTTGACGGGCGGTGAGGCTGCTATGCTTGAAGTTGTCATCTCCTCAATGCGTGCAATTCTCGAAATGTGTTCGGGCAACCCCTGGGATAGCTTTGAGAGGAGATCAGCGTCCGAGTTTTGATTTCTCGGGACGCAAACCAACTCTGCCTGCTTGAACAGCCCGAGCAATTCCCGGACAGCATCTCGGTACTTCGTCATTCTTTCCTCCTTTGCTTCGAACTCACCTTTAACCTGTGAAACGACCAGCCGAGAGTCACATTTGACCGTTATCCATTCTGCTCCCATGGCGGCTGCTAGTCGCAGTCCGGACAATAGGGCCTCGTACTCCACCTCGTTGTTGGAGACTTTGAAAAGATAACGGTAGGCATAGTAGGCCCGAAATCCCTCAGGGGAGATGAGGACGATTCCGCCCCCACATCCCTTTGCTCCGGCCGACCCGTCTGTTGCTAAGGTCCACCACTGCTCATCGCTCTCCCGTTGTTTCTCTGTCACCTCCCGGGCCGTACACTCCACGATGAAATCGGCCAAAGCTTGGCCCTTGATGGATGTCCGTGGCTGGAAGTCGACCTCATATTGACTGAGGAGCATCGACCACTTCACCACCCGCGCTGTGCCGGGCGCCCTCAGGGCTGCCCCTAGAGGTTGTTCCGACAGGATTCGGATTGGATGCGCCTGAAAGTAGTGTGTCAACTTCTTCGCGGTGATGTAAGCGGCATAGATCGTCTTTTCGAGCGGGGTGTATCGGAGCTCGGCATTCTGGAGGGTTTTGCTTACATAGTAGACGGGACGTTGAACGCCTTCCTCTTCACGAACCAGCACGGAGCTGATCGCGCCTTGAGAAACCCCAAGGTACAGGATCAGCGTCTCCCCCCTTTCCGGCTTGCTGAGTAGAGACGAAGCCATTTTGCTTCTTTAGGACCTGGAAGAAAGGTAATGATTTCTCCGCGGACTTCGACATGAAGCGCCCGAGGGCTGCTAGCCGACCGGTGAGAATCTGGACTTCTTTCACCGATTTCGGGGGCTCCATATCAAGTATCGCCCTCACCTTCTCGGGATTTGGCTCAATCCCTCTCCGTGTGACCATGTATCCTAGGAACTTGCCTCCCTGGACAGCAAAGGTACACTTCTTTGGGTTCAGGCGCAGTCGCACTGCCTTCATGATCCCGAAAATCTCTGCCAAGTCATCTGCGTGGTCGGCCGCCCGGGTGCTCTTGACGATCATATCGTCGACGTATGCTTCCATGTTCCTTCCGAGCACCTTCCGGAATACTTTGGCCACCATCCTCGTGTACGTTGCCCCGGAATTCTTTAGCCCGAAGGCCATGACAAGATAGCAAAAAATTCCCTCCGGGGTAACGAACGAGGTCTTCTCCGCGTCATCTTCATGCATAAAAATCTGGTGGTACCCTCGAAAGGCGTCCATGAAGCTAAGGAGCTCACACCCGGCCGTCCCATCGACTAGTTGGTCGATGTTAGGTAACGGGAACGGATCCATAGGACACGCCTTGTTGAGGTCGGTGTAGTCGACACACATCCTCCAGGTCGGCGGCTTCGGGGCTAGGACCACGTTCGCCAACCACACTGGGTATAGGACCTCCCGAATGTGTCCGATACTCAGGAGCATGTTGACCTCCTTCTTCACGAATTCCTTCCTTTCGATGGAGAGATGTCTTCTCTTCTGCTGAACAGGTTTTGCCGACGGGTTGACCGCCAACCGGTGGACAGCGATGCTTCGGTCGAGGCCGGGCATGTCCTCCGGCCCCCATGCGAAGACAACGCTGAAGAGGATCAAGACCCGGATGATTTTTTCCCTCAAGTCGGCCGGGAGGCCGGTTCCAATCTTGACCTTCCGCCCTGGCTTCTCAGGGTCAATCTGGATTTCCTCCACGTCTGAAGTGGGTTCAGCACGGAGCTGACCCTCCTCATACTTCATGGCCTTGTTGTTGATAGTATGGACTCTCAAGTCCTTCTGGCCGATTTGTTTGCAAGCTTTTAGGTAGCAGCTCCTAGCCATCCGCTGGTCTCCCCTAGCAACTCCGACACCATTCGGAGTGGGGAACTTCATGCACAGGTGCTCCTGGGATATCACACACCTCAGGTCCTCCAGGGCCGGCCTCCCCATGATGATCTTATGCGGACAAGTTAGGCGTACGACTATGAATTCGACGTTTAACTTAGACACGCAGGGCTCGGAGCCCACCACCACAGGGAGGACTATGCTACCTTCCGACTCAATGGAGTCCCCGGTGAAGCCTGAGAGCGGGGTCCTCACCGGGATCAAGTCCTTCCTGTCCAGGCCGAGCCCCTGGAAGGTATCATAGTACATGATGTTAACGGAGCTCCCATTATCTACCAGGACTCGGTGGACGATGGTGTTGTTGATCTCGATCTTGATCATCAAGGCATCCCTGTGCGGTGGCGGCATCGACGGCAAATCTGCATCGGTGAAGAGGATGGGATCCCTCTTCACCCTCTTATCGGCAGGAGCTCTGGTTACTTCCCCAACGTACAAGGCTCGGGCCCATTGTTTCCGCTCTCCCGAGGTATCCCCTCCTTGGGGTCCCCCGAAGCTGTATGAACATCGATGGTGTTTACGGGAGCCATCCCCTAGGTCGGCCTCATCATCCTCGGAAAGGGCG